CCTTTCCACTGGGGATAAGTGACATCCTCATAGAAAGTAGTATCCCGAGTAATCAGCACCTTCCCAGTCTCCACGTCCTTTACCACCCAGCCCTTGCTATTAAGACATATCCCGAGGTTTATGCCCCACCTGGTCCTTGGCAACAGCTTGTGCTCAGGACCAACCGGCTCGCGATATTGGACCATACAGCCCCATACCCTTAGGAAGCTCACATCAGGCTTCCTCCTATAGAATGCCTCATGAGGGGTAAGGTCACTCGCAGTACCTTTGGTAGGCAGTCTGTTTTTAATCCAACATGCCATGGCCAAAGCATCACCCCAAAACCTCAGTGGAAGCCCACTATCAGCAAGCATACTCCTCACGCTGTTCAGCAGCGACCTGTTTACTCGCTCTGCAATGCTGTTGTGCTGTGGGATATAAGGGACAGTCAGTTGCCTCTTGATACCTCTGGACTGACAAAACTCCTATCTGTAAATTCACCTCCATTGTCCGTCCTCAACTCCTTCAGCACTCTTCCACTCTGGCGTTCAGCTTCAGCCATCCAAGCCAAAAAGCTTGGAAATGCCTCTGTCTTATCTCTCATCTCTGTTACCCACGTATTCCGTGTACCAAGATTAGTGAATGTGATGAAATACCTGCTCCCATGCCTGGAGGCTACTCGCAGCGGTCCACAGACATCTGCAGCCACGACTTCGAGTGCCCCATAGGGTTCTCGAACCTCGTGCTTAGGATGTGGACGTTTGCTCGCTTTCCCTTGCACACACTCATTGCATGGCTTAGAAGACTCCTTACTCTGGTTCAGCTCCATCCCCATAACCAGCTCCTTCGCCACCATTTCCTTAAGCCGCTCCTCACTAGCATGACCCATCCTCCTGTGCCACATGCCTAGCTCCACTCCTCCTACTGTCTTTGCTATAGCCATTGACCGTAACTGTGGCTCTCCCTCTGGCCTCTCCTCTATCATGGCAACCAGCTCCTCCCTAGCCTTCTTGCCCTCCTCAGGTTCGGGCAGATAGCTAACTATTCCCTTCACCAACCCCTTCACTTGTAACTGCATCTCGTACAAACCCTGATTGCGGACCCCCTCAGCTAGAATGTGCCAATCCGTTCCAAAGACCCACATCTTTCCCTTATCACTGAAGAACTTGCTTCCTGTGCTATCGAGCTGAGACTGGCTAATCAGGTTTAGCGACAGCTTCTCGACCAGCAAAACGTTTTCAAGGGTCAGCTCTGCGTACGGACTTTGTAGCACGATCTCTCCTTCTCCCAACACCGGCAGCCTTCCTTCATCTCCTAGCAGCACATAGGGTACTGTTGAATGTCTGAAACTAGTCAACCAGTCTCCTCTGTAGGTCATGTGCTGTGTACACCCACTATCCATGAACCAGCCTTTCTCCTCAAGCCCCTTTGTGAGCGCGCATACCTCCGACGGCCTAGCCAAGTTCGCTCTATGTGCTCCTCCAAGAATAGCATCCTCCTCCGCTAATGCGCCTGCTGCATTTACTCTAGCCGCTGCTGGTTTCTGTTGCACTCGTACCCCTTGGAAGCGTTGACTCCTAGGGTTGAGAAAACAATCTACTGCCTTATGCCCATAGCGCCCGCAGTGATTGCAGCTGCCCATGAAACCTCCTCCTGTCCTCGCCTTTTCTCCTGCTGCCCTGTCTGCACCCTGCTCCTTCCCTAAGGTCTTTCCCCTGAAATTCTTACTCTTAAGGTTGAAATAGCACTCGGCTGCCTTATGCCCATTTCTGCCGCACTCAAAACATGGTCCAAAGCCCTTTGCTGTAGGCCCTGTCGCATTAACTAGAGCTGGTTTCACTGGTGCAGCACTACTAGCAGTTGCCTCCTTCCTCTTCCTCTCCGTCTTAACCAGCTCTAGCGATTGCAGCATCTCTACGAGCTTTGTGAGTGATGAAGGCGGGTTGCAAGTCAGCATGCCTATCTCCACCTCCCACTCCTTCGGTAGCCCATTGATGATATACCCTATCATCTCTCCCTCGGGTTCCGCCGCACCCATCGCCTGCAGATCATCGTTATAACTCCGCGCCCTGTTCACGAACTCAATATACTCTCCTTCTCCTCCATGCTCAACAACAGCAACTTCTTTCTAACGATCGCTTTGTTGGTGTCGGTACGACCAAGGTAAACCGTCTCCATATACTCCCACGTAGACATGGGCAGCATGCCGAGCCTGGCTCGACTCGGCTCGACTCGAACTCGAGCCAGGCAAAAGTCGAGCCGAGCCGACTCGACTCGACCCGAGCCGGCTGCCCCAAAATGGTTGGCTCGACTCGGGGGTTCAGGGTCGAGCCAAGGGTCGGCTCGACTTTGGCTCGGCTCGGCTCGACTCGCCAAAAGGGTTTCTTCTGCATGTTTTGAAAAGGTCTTGCTAGATCGCTGTAAATGTTCTGCACGTAGAGGTCCGTAAGCCCTTACATCCTTCCTACAACACCAAAAGGTAGTCGAAAAAAATATAAAGTAGCAGTGTTGGTGGAAAGAGGGCAAGCTAGGGTGGCGAAATACCTCAGATGTAGGCTTAGGCTCGATGGCAAAAACCTAGAATGGATTGTCAACTTCCAGGGGGGTCGAATTTTGACCCCCCACGGGCGAGCCGCACGCTTCGGGAGACGAGCCAAAGTCGAGCCAAATTCGAGCCAAAGTCGAGCCGGCTCGACTTTGGCTCGCCATGAAATTTCTGACGAGTCGAGCCGAGCCGCGCGGCTCGACCGGCTCGACTCGGCTCGACTCGGGGCGAGCCGGCCAAAAAAAATCTCGGCTCGACTCGCCAAAAATGCGAGTCGAGTCGAGCCGAGTCGAGCCAGGCTCGGCATGCTGCCCATGGGAGTCCCACGCTCTCTGCGCTGGATTTTACTCCCCTGCAAACTGATCTAACCCTGCAGCTATGCTGTCTGCAACGGAGTGACATAACTGAAAGAATGCTTGCTTACTCTTCTTTTTATACGTCGCCTTTTCACTCGCAGTCACAGCTACACCTGGTGCTACTCCTTCATGTGCCGTCTCGTCAGGATGAAAGAACGCCCAGAGGTCTACTTCCTCTGCCCTCCTGATAAACTTCAAGCGTCACGTACTATAGTTGTTGCCACTAAAACGATGCGCCTCGCTCAAGCCAATCGTTGGCTTCGAAACGACATGCCCCTGCGCTAACGCTTCTAGGAGAGCTTGCAGTTGCGGGCCTCCACCAGCGGACGATCCCGAACTAACCTCGCCACGTTCATCCGTCATGGCGTAGGCGTTCTAACTCTCTAGCCGTGCGCAACAAGGATTCGCCAAGCTGTGATACCAGCTGTTAGAATTTCCGGCAGCGCTCTCGCCGCTCTCAGGTCGTTCTTATACTCCAAACCGACTCCCGACAGCACTTGCGCAAGTACTAAGGGTAGTCTTAACACCACCAGTCAAGTTCTAGTTGCAAACAGGCAGCACGACGTGAGGGAGAATTTTCAGATTCACAATTTACAAAGAGATACAAAGAAACAAATTTATATGAAAACATTTCCTTAGACACATGACATTAAGTAGCGCACATCCGAACCGCATTTTACACAATATAACTGAATCACATTTCTGCTCCTCCGAACACCGCGTCACTGTACCAAATTCCGCTCGACGCTCACAAGTCCTCCGCGTGTCCCAAACATCTCCTCCTTCTTACACGTAACCTTGCAGCCCCTCACCACCTAGCACACCCACATGTAGACATGGGCATGAGCCGAGCCTGGCTTGGCTCGGCTCGTCCAGGGGTCGAGCCAAGCCGGCTCGCCGTCGAGCCTGGCTCGGCTCGAGTCGAGCCGGGCACCAAACATGCCTGGCTCGGCTCGAATTTCTGTGGGCGAGCCAGGGCTGGCTCGACGGCGAGCCGGCTCGGCTCGACTCGCCTAGCATGCGCTTAAGCCAACAGTAGTGTGGGTGGAGCCTATGCAAGCGCGCGTTGTTAAGAGTGGCGCGGGCTGCTTAAGATTTCTCGCGCGAACTAACCTAATGAGATACTCCTAGGCACGCAGAATTCTAGGGTTCGCGAAATTGACGGGAAGTGGATTGTGAGGAGGAAGGAGGGTGCAAGAGTTTAGGTTGGAAGTTGTAGATGCAGTAGTGTGCAGTGCGGTTGAGCGGAGCAGAAGTGTTGGATGTGTTTTTGGTCGTCAAAGTTTGGGGTTGCGACTGGTTGAATTCGCGAGGTCGCAATGTCGCGGGAAAGGATTCGGCGTCAAATATTTTGGGCGAGCGTTTAGCGTTTACCCTTTAAACGCAGCGTTTAAACGATAAACGCTGCACCGCTAGAGCGATTTCGTGAACATAGACTAGGAGTTGTTGGCGGGAGAGAGACGCGGGAGACACGTTTTGTCGAGGGGGAAATTTACCCTTGACATCGAGTGGCGAGCCACCTGGCTCAAAATCGAGCCGGGGACGAGCCAGCTCGACCCCGGCTCGAAGAGGACATTGTGTACGAGCCGAGTCGAGCCGGCTGGCTCGACCAAGCCGAGCCAGATCCCGAAAAGAAAGGCTCGGCTCGTCATTTTGGCGAGCCGAGCCGAGCCGAGCCGGATGTGGCTCGGCTTGTGCCCATGTCTACCCACATGTAGTCTTCAGCTTACGCCATTTGTTAGCGCTGCCATACTGCCAGCTAGCTTACGCCATGCTGCCACGCGTTGCCTAGGGGCAAGCGCGAACCACTTCCAACACCCCACCATTCCCCCCTCCCTCTCCCCTCCCCGCCCCCCCCCCCCTCTGCCCCCGCCTCTCCTTTTCCGTCTCCCCTACCCAACCCCTTTTCCCCCACCTCCCCTCCGTCATGACCCGCCTCCTGTTCTCATCGACCGCGTGTTTCTGCATCCCATTCGTCCATCCATAGCTACATATCCGGTTTTTGTACCACCTTTCTCCACTGCTCATCTTTCCTTCGCTCTCCCCTCCACTCATCCCACTTCCCTCCTGTTTTGCACATCTTCCTCCCTTTCCCCCCTTTTTTCCTCCTGCCATCAAAGCCGTATTTCTTCTAACCAGCTCAATGGCTCAATCCCTGCCAGCATCAGCTCACTTGCTCAACTGACAAGCCTGTAAGTTCTATGCTTCGCTTCGCCCTCGTACCTCTACTCCTGCACTCCTGGCTAACTCCTACCTCTCAACCCGCCTTCGCGTCTGGTGCATTGGTTGTCCGGCTTGAGATGTCATAGAGGTCCGCAATCCCTGTAGACGGTCGAGTGGCGGGGGTGTGGGCGCTGTACTATCACTTGCCCACCTGGTATACCTGTAAGTTCTGTGCTTCGCTTCGCCCTCATACCTCTTCTCCTGCACTCCTGGCTAACTCCTACCTCTCAACCCGCCTTCGCGTCTGGTGCATTGGTTGTCCGGCTTGAGATTTCATGGAGGTTCGCAATCCCTGTAGACGGTCGAGTGGCGGCGCCGGTGTATGGGCGTTGCACTATTGACTTTGTAGATCTTGTGTGGTGTTCCGCTGAATCTAGAGATTGGCTTTGTTCAAACCTGCGGCTGGAAACCAAAACGCGAGCTGCAAGAGGAAGGCCGCCGGCGCAGTCTTAGGTGGCTCCGGGAATACCTCTATAGTGTTGGGGTACCCAAGGTAGAGGGGCTCGTCTGGTGAGCCTGAGCCGCCTCATTGGCGTTATCAAGGAAGGCCACGGCTTGACCTCAATGCAGCATCACCGACCAGTACTGGCGGAAATGTTGCAGCAGTTCCCCGTTTGGGTGGATTTGATAGGCATGCACTTAGTTCAGGCTTGGCCGCCGACGGCGAGCCAGGGCTGAGCCGACTCTTGCTGAGGCGGCAGCATCCACCCCGGGGAAGGGGCGGCCTAGGTTTAAGGTAAGCGCGGTCGCGAAGCGAGTGGTGGAAAGGGGACGACCAGTAGCCAGTCGCCCGCTCAGCCGAAATGGGAGGGCAACTGCTGAGTGAGGTGGTCGAGTGGGTTCGGGTCCATCACGTGCGAGCGAGGCGGCCACCAGCTCGGCGTAGCGCTGTCCTCGGACCTCGGGCACCAGGCCGTGCTGGAGCGGGCCATGCAGAGTCGTGCTAAGTGTGCACAGCGGATTTTAACTAAAACATGCCATTATACTTCATCAATCTCACTGCATTGATTGTTACACACACTCTCTAGTTTGGAGATCAACAATGCAGTATTCGTGCCCGCATTTCACCCTCTCCCACATAGAAGAAGCTTGGCAAGGAACTTAGCTTACCAGGCCCATTCCAGCTGGCATTAGAAAGCTTAGTAGCGTGGACTTACTTGAGGTCGTGTGAAGTTGGCAGCAGTCGAGGATCCGCCTTTCGTTTGAATGGTGCCCTGTTGTAGAAACGGGAGGGAATGCTTTTGTTTGAGGGGTGTTGTCCATATTCTTGGCATTGCTGAGCAGAGCCAGGCGAGTCCTGTTTCATCTCCCACCTCCCATTGACCTTCCATATGTGCACCCATCCGAGTGCCCCTCCCCGCCTTTCCCTTGCCCACCCCAGCATTCTCCCAGCCGCCACCCCCCTCCCTTTGCTCCCTCCTTCCCCCTGTGTGCCCCACTTAACCCATCTTTTCCTTTGATTTGGCTGTCTCTCCATTCTCTAGATCAGGGGTTCCTTAACGAAGCCCCATTCTTCCTTTCTGTGCTTTCTTTGTCTACTTTTCGACGATTTTATTTCTTCCTACATCCAGCTACCCACCCCCCACCATTCCCCCCTCCCTCTCCCCTCCCCCCCCCCCCCCCCCCCCCCCCCCCCCCCCCCTCTGTCCCCGCCTCTCTTTTTCTTTCCCTACCCAACCCCTTTTCCCCCACCTCCCCTCCGTCATGACCCCCCTCCTGTTCTCATCCACCGCGTGTTTCTGCATCCCATTCGTCCATCCATAGCTACATATCCGGTTTTAGTACCACCTTTCTCCACTGCTCATCTTTTCTTCGCCCTTCACTCCACTCATCCCACTTCTCTCCTGTTTTGCACATCTTCCTCTCTTTCCCCCCTTTTTTCCTTCTGCCATCAAAGCCGTATTGCTTCTAACCAGCTCAGTGGCTCAATCCCTGCCAGCATCAGCTCACTTGCTCAACTGACACGCCTGTAAGTTGTATGCTCTGCTTCGCCCTCGTACCTCTTCTCCTGCACTCCTGGCTAACTCCTACCTCTCAACCCGCCTTCGCGTCTGGTGCATTGGTTGTCCGGCTTGAGATGTCATGGAGGTCCGCAATCCCTGTACACGGTCGAGTGGCGGGGGTGTGGGCGCTGTACTATCGACTTCGTAGATCTTGTGTGGCGTTCCGCTGAATCTGGTGATTGGCTTTGTTCAAACCTGCGGTTGGAGGCCGCCGACGCGAGTCGCAATAATGAGACCGCCGGAGCGGTCTTATGGGGCTCGGGGAATACCTGTATAGAGTTGGGGGGGTACCCAAGGTAGAGGGGCTCGTCTGGTGAGCCTGAAACGCCTCTTTGGCGTTATTGAGGAAGGCCACGGCTTGACCTCGCTGCAGCAGCACCGACCAGTGCTGGCGGACTTGCTGCAGCAGTTTGCCGTGTGGGTGGATTTGATAGGCATGCACTTAGTTCAGGCTTGGCCGCTGACGGCGAGCCCGGGCTGAGCCGACTCTTGCTGAGGTGGTGGCATCCACACCGGGGAAGGGGAGGCCTAGGTTTAAGGTAAGCGCAGTCACAAAGAGGGAAGGGGACGACCAGTAGCCAGTCGCCCGCCTCAGCCGAAATGGGAGGGCAACTGCTGATTGAGGTGGTCGCGTGGGTTCAGTCCACCATGCGCGAGGCGGCCACCAGCTCGGCGTAACCATGTCCTCGGACCTCAAGCACAAGGTCGCACTGTAGCGGGCCGTGCTGAGTCGTGCTAAGTGCGCATGGAGGCTTAAACCTGAACCAGGCCGTTGTACGTCATAGATCTCACTGCATGGATTGTTACACACCCTCTCTAGTTTGGAGATCAACAGAGCAGCATTCATGCTCACTTCTCATCCTCTCTCACACAGAAGCTTGGCAAGGAACTTCGGTTACCAGGCCCATTCCAGCTGGCATTAGAGACCTTAGAAGCTTGGACTTACTTGAGGTCGTGTGAAGTAGGGAGCAGTCGAGGATCCACATTTCGTTTGAATGGTGCACTGTTGTAGAAGCGGGAGGGAGCTGCTTTCGTTTAAGGGGTGTTGGCCATATTCTTGGTTGCTGAGCAGAGCCATGCGACTCCTGTTTCATCTCCCACGTCCCGTTCGCCTTCCCTGCACCCATCTGCGTGCCCTTCCCCCGCCTTTCCCTTGCCCACCCCAGCAACCATCCCCCCTCCCTTTGCTCCCTCCTTCCCCCCGTGTGCCCCACTTAGCCCATCTTTTCCTTTGAAAGGAGATGGCTGTCTCTCCTTTCTCTAGATCAATGGTTCCTTAACGAAGCCCCATTCTTCCTTGCTGTGCTTTCTTTGTGTGCTACTTTCTTACACCTAAATTCCTTCCTACGTGTGCCTCCCATTCAGCCCCCCCCCACTCTCTTCCCCCCCCGCTCCCCACCTCCCTCTTCTTCCCCCCCCTCTCTCCTGTCACACTCCCCTCACAACCGCCTTTCCCCCATCTTCCCCTCCGTCATGCCCCGCCTCCTGTTATTATCCACCGCGTGTTTCTGCATCCCATTCGTCCACCCATTGGTATACATCCTTTTTCGTACCACCTTTCTCCACGCTGCTCATCTTTCCTTCGCTCTCCCCTCCTTTATCTGTTCCATTGCCTGTCCGCCCCCTTTCAACTTCTCTCCTGTTTTGCACACCTTCCGCTCGTTCCCTCGTTTTTCCCTCCTGCCATCTCAGTGATTGTTCTCATAACAACCTCAGTGGCTCAATTCCTGCCAGTATCGGCTCGCTTGCCCACCTGGTATACCTGTAAGTTCTGTGCTTCGCTTCGCCCTCATACCTCTTCTCCTGCACTCCTGGCTAACTCCTACCTCTCAACCCGCCTTCGCGTCTGGTGCATTGGTTGTCCGGCTTGAGATGTCGTGGAGGTCCGCAATCCCTGTAGACGGTCGAGTAGCGGCGCCGGTGTATGGGCATTGTCCTATCAACTTCGTAGATCTTGTGTGGCGTTCCGCTGAATCTGGTGATTGGCTTTGTTCAAACCTGCGGTTGGAGGCCGCCGACGCGAGCCGCAATAATGAGACCGCCGGTGCGGTCTTATGGGGCTCGGGGAATACCTGTAAAGAGTTGGGGTACCCAAGGTAGAGGGGCTCGTCTGGTGAGCCTGAAACGCCTCTTTGGCGTTATTGAGGAAGGCCACGGCTTGACCTCGCTGCAGCATCACCGACCAGTGCAGGCGGACTTGCTGCAGCAGTTTGCCGTTTGGGTGGATTTGATAGGCATGCACTTAGTTCAGGCTTGGCCGCGGACGGCGAGCCCGGGCTGAGCCGACTCTTGCTGAGGCGGCGGCATCCACACCGGGGAAGGGGAGGCCTAGGTTTAAGGTAAGCGCGGTCGCGAGTGGTGGAAGGGGACGACCAGTAGACATGAGCAAAACCGGGTAATTACCCGACCCGACCCGGTTTTGCCCTACCCGCAATCGGGTCCGGGTCGGGGTCGGGTCGGGTAATTTCCGGGTAATGTTTGGAGGTCTGTTACCCGACCCGACATTTTAATACCGGGTAATTGGGTACCCGTCTGTCGGGTCGGGTATACCCGACCCGCATTTAATTGAAGTCGGGTAATATTACCCCGGTACCCCTAGGTGACTGTAGAATTCAGCAAACCCAGAGTAAGAAACCCAAAGTCGGGTCGGGTACCCGCGACCCGACGGGTAATAAATTACCCGACATTTCGGGTAATTCTCGGGTAACGGGTATGCATTACCCGGCCTGAGTACCCGACCCGACCCGGCCGGGTAATTCGTCAAAATCCTATTACCCGACCCGGCCAAAATGTCGGGTCGGGTACCCGCGACCCGACCGGGTAAAATGCTCAAGTCTAACGACCAGTAGCCAGTCGCCCGCCTCAGCCGAAATGGGAGGGCAACTGCTGAGTGAGGTGGTCGTGTGGGTTCAGTCCACCATGCGCGAGGCGGCCACCAGCTCGGCATAGCCATGTCCTTGGACCTTTTTTAACAAGGTCGCACTGCAGCGGGCCGTGCTGAGTCGTGCTAAGTGTGCATGGAGGCTTTGACCTGAACCAGGCCGTTGAACGTCATAGATCTCACTGCATTGGCTGTTACATCCACTGTCTAATTTGGGGATCAACAGATCAAATTTATGCCCACGTTTTGCCCACTTCCAAACAGAGATTTGGCAGTCAATGAGCTTACCGGGCCCGTCCCAGTTGGAATTGGACGCCTTAGTAACTTGAAAGTTCTGTAAGTCGTGTGAATCAAGCATCAGCTAAGGACCCACGTTTCCTTGAAATGATGCACTGTTGTAGAAACGAGAGGGGGCCAATGGGAGGGAGCTCCTTTTGTTTAAGGGGTGTTGGCCATATTATTGGCATTGCTGTGTGCAGAGCCAAACGACTCTGGTTTCATCTCCCACCTCCCATTCGCCATCCATATGTGCAACCATCTGCGTGCCCCTCCCCCGCCTTTCGCTTGCCCACCCCAGCATTCTCCTAGCAACCATCCTCCTCCCTTTGCTCCCTCCTTCCCCCCCGTGTGCCCCACTTAGCCCATCTTTTCCTTTGAAAGGAGATGGCTGTCTCTCCTTTCTCTAGATCAATGGTTCCTTAACGAAGCCCCATTCTTCCTTGCTGTGCTTTCTTTGTGTGCTACTTTCTTACACCTAAATTCCTTCCTACGTGTGCCTCCCATTCAGCCCCCCCCACTCTCTTCCCCCCCCGACCCCGCCCTCCCTCTCCTTCCCCCCCCTCTCTCCTTTCCCCCTCCCCTCACAACCGCCTTTCCCCCATCTTCCCCTCCGTCATGCCCTGCCTCCTGTTATTATCCACCGCTTGTTTCTGCATCCCATTCGTCCACCCATTGCTATACATCCTTTTTCGTACCACCTTTCTCCACGCTGCTCATCTTTCTTTCACTCTCCCCTCCACTCATCTCTTCCATTGCCTGTCCGCCCCCTTTCAACCTCTTTTGCTCACCTTCTGCTCGTTCCCTCGTTTTTCCCTCCTGCCGTATAAGTGATTGTTCTCATAACAACCTCAGTGGCTCAATTCCTGCCAGTATCGGCTCTCTTGCCCACCTGGGATCCCTGTAAGTTCTATGCTTCGCTTCGCCCTCGTACCTCTTCTCCTGCACTCCTGGCTAACTCCTACCTCTCAACCCGCCTTCGCGTCTGGTGTATTGGTTGTCCGGCTTGAGATGTCATGGAGGTCCACAATCCCTGTAGACGGTCGAGTGGCGGCGCCGGTGTATGGGCGTTGCACTATTGACTTTGTAGATCTTGTGTGGTGTTCCGCTGAATCTAGGGATTAACGTTGTTCAAACCAGCGGTTGGAGACCAAAACGCGAGCTGCAAGAGGAAGGCCGCCGGCACAGTCTTAGGTGGCTCGGGGAATACCTCTATAGTGTTGGGGTTAGGCATGAGCAGGAGGCGAGTCGAGCCTCGACTCGTCCGAGTCGGATCCGAGTCGAGCCAATTCCGGGTCGAGTCGGACCCGAGTCGGACCGAGTCGGACCCCCCAGGATTCTGACTCGAGACTCGAGTTTTGGGAGGCGAGTCGGACCTGACTCGCCCGAGTCAGGCCCTGACTCGGCCCGAGTCGAGTTTGACTCGACTCGGTTTAGTTAATAGGGAATTTCCTCGAAATACGCTCGGCTGCGCAGGGCAAAAAAGGTACAGGCCTGGCGTGGGGTGAGTGGAGGAGGTGCCGTAGTTGCTGCTCTAGAGTTGCACAGCGTGAAATTAGGGCTCGGGAATGTCATAAGAGGGATAGCGTGTGTTCCTTCTCTTAGGTAGACGAGAGAGTGGGGGGAGGTTGGGTTTTCTAGTTGAAATAAGGTTGATTGCGGTTTTGAGGTGTGGTGTGGGAATGGGGTTGGAAGGTAAAATGTCGCCAAGTCGTGACATTTTTGCCAACCAAATTCCCCCACTTCAACCGCACTGAAACCCTCTGCGACTACGAAATCCATTCCCCCCCCTCTAATGTTCTTGCTAACATCGATTTCCAACCAAATTCCCCCACTTCAACCGCACTGAACCTGTCTGCAACTACGACTTTCAACCCCCCCCTCCTCTCTTGCATGCTCTACCCTAATTCCTTGCCATCCCTCTCTCCTGTCAATTCTGCTAACCTATTTTAGCGTGCAACTAGAGCGGCCGCCAGATCGCCTCTCAACCTACCACTCGCTAAGTCTTGAACCTTAAATTTTCGTTTTGCCCTGAACATTTTTGCCTGCCTTCCCGAGCGTTTATCGAGCGTTTGCCAGGCCAGAAATCGATTGTTTAGAGTTAAACGCTGGCGTTTAAAACGCCAGACGCGTTTCTGGGCGTAGCTCAAAATTCCCCAGACAAATGACTTAGCGAAACCTCTCGAGTGAATTTCGACTCGGTCGAGTCAAATTATGACTCGACTCGGGTGCGATTCGGTGCAAATTCCCAGACCGAGTCGAGCAAAACTCGAAACTCGGTCGACTCGACCCGACTCGACTTTGGCCGAGTCAGATGAGTCAAAAAGGAAACTCGACTCGCCCTAAAGGGCGAGTCGAGTCACCGAGTCGAGTCAAAACTCGACTCGGTTGCTCATGCCTAGTTGGGGTATCCAAGATAGAGGGGCTCGTCTGGTGAGCCTGAGCCGCCTCATTGGCGTTATGGAGGAAGGCCACGGCTTGACCTCGCTACAGCAGCACCGACCAGTGCTGACGGAATTGCTGCAGCTGTTGGCTGTTTGGGTGGATTTGATAGGCATGCACTTAGTTCAGGCTTGGCCGCGGACGGCGAGCCCGGGCTGAGCCGAATCTTGCTGAGGCGGCAGCATCCACCCCGGGGAAGGGGAGGCCTAGGTTTAAGGTAAGCGCGGTTGCGAAGCGAGTGGCGGAAGGGGACGACCAGTAGCCAGTCGCCCGCCTCAGCCGAAATGGGAGGGCAACTGCTGAGTGAGGTGGTCGTGTGGGTTCGGGTCCACCATGCGCGAGCGAGGCGGCCACCAGCTCGGCGTAGCCATGTCCTTGGACCTTTTTGAACAAGGTCGCACTGCAGCGGGCCGTGCTAAGTGTGCATGGAGGCTTTGACCTGAACCAGGCCGTTGAACGTCATAGATCTCACTGCATTGGCTGTTACATCCACTCTCTAATTTGGGGATCAACAGATCAAATTTATGCCCACGTTTTGCCCACTTCCAAACAGAGATTTGGCAGTCAATGAGCTTACCGGGCCCGTCCCAGTTGGAATTGGACGCCTTAGTAACTTGGATTTTCTGTAAGTCGTGTGAATCAAGCATCAGCTAAGGACCCACGTTTCCTTGAAATGATGCACTGTTGTAGAAACGGGAGGGGGCCAATGGGAGGGAGCTCCTTTTGTTTAAGGGGTGTTGGCCATATTATTGGCATTGCTGTGTGCAGAGCCAAACGACTCTTGTTTCATCTCCCACCTCCCATTCGCCATCCATCTGTGCACCCATCTGCGTGCCTCTCCCCCGCCTTTCCCTTGCCCACCCCAGCATTCTCCTAGCAACCATCCCCCTCCCTAGGCATGAGCAAAACCGGGTATTTACCCGACCGGACCCGGTTTTGCTATACCCGACTTCGGGTCGGGTACGGGTCGGGTAACATGCCCAAGACCAATACCCGGACCTGGAATTTGGGGGCGGGTAATTTAATACCCGCCTGGCGGGTCCGGGTATACCCGACCCGGTTTCCTTGAAAAGCGGGTAGTATTACCCGCGTTTTTCTAGCCTGTTGGGCTACTAAGACTACGACCTAGATGGTGCTTCAAAAAACGTGAGCTGCGGGAGGGAGTATGAGGTGCGCCAAATCTTTAACAGTTCTGGTGTGGTGAGTGGGTCGTGAGTGGGGCCTGAGTGGGGAGTTGGTTGGGTTTTCTAGTTGGAATGGGGTTGTGTGCGGTTTCTGGGGGTTTGATTCTTTGACCCCCAGAGTCAATTGGTTGGAACTCCAACCAATGTGGTGCTGTGCGGTTGGCTGGATTCAGGTTGGGTTGCAAATTCGATTGGGGAAATTCGATTGGTTTGACTTCCAACCAATTCCCCCCAATTCAACCCCTTTGAATGCATCTGTATCTACGAAACCCAACCCCTGCCAATCTACAATGCTCTAAGTGACCTAGCAGCTCACGTAACCTAGAAATTTGATGAAATTTCTCTACCAGCGCGACTAATGTCTCGCTGGTTCCGTCGGGTAGACCGCTACCCGATTTCGGGTCGGGTACCCGCTACCCGACGCGTTGGGTAGCATTTCGGGTAGCAAGTATTGATACCCGCCCCGGGTAACCCGGACCCGACCCGCCGGGTAATTTTCAGGATTTCTGATACCCGACCCGCCCTAAAAGCGGGTCCGGGTACCGGGTACCCGACCCGGGCGGGTAGTTTGCTCAACCCTACCCCTCCTTCCCCCTCCCTTTGCTCCCTCCTTCCCCCCGTGTGCCCCACTTAGCCCATCTTTTCCTTGGAAAGCAGATGGCTGTCTCCTTTCTCTAGATCAATGGTTCCTTAACGAAGCCCCATTCTTCCTTGCTGTGCTTTCTTTGTGTGCTACTTTCTTACACCTAAATTCCTTCCTACGTGTGCCTCCCATTCAGCCTCCCCCCACTCTCTTCCCCCCCCTCCCCCCCCACCCTCCCCCCCTCCCTCTCCTCCCCCCCCTCCCTCTCCTTTCCCCCCCTCTCTCCTTTCCCCCTCCCTTCACAACTGCCTTTCCCCCATCTTCCCCTCCGTCATGCCCCGCCTCCTGTTATTATCCACCGCGTGTTTCTGCATCCCATTCGTCCACCCATTGGTATACATCCTTTTTCGTACCACCTTTCTCCACGCTGCTCATCTTTCCTTCGCTCTCCCCTCCTTTATCTGTTCCATTGCCTGTCCGCCCCCTTTCAACTTCTCTCCTGTTTTGCACACCTTCTGCTCGTTCCCTCGTTTTTCCCTCCTGCCATCTCAGTCGTCTTTCTTATAACAACCTCAGTGGCTCGGTCCCTGCCAGTATCGGCTCGCTTGCCCAGCTGGTATACCTGTAAGTTCTATGCTTCGCTTCGCCTTCGTACCTCTTCTCCTGCACTCCTGGCTAACTCCTACCTCTCAACCCGCCTTCGCGTCTGGTGCATTGGTTGTCCGGCTTGAGATGTCATGGAGGTCCGCAATCCCTGTAGACGGTCGAGTGGCGGGGGTGTGGGCGCTGTACTATCGCCTTTGAGATCTTGTGTGGCGTTCTGCTGAATCTGGTGATTGGCTTTGTTCAAACCTGCGGTTGGAGGCCGCCGACGCGAGCCGCAATAATGAGACCGCCGGAGCGGTCTTATGGGGCTCGGGGAATACCTGTATAGAGTTGGGGTACCCAAGGTAGAGGGGCTCGTCTGGTGAGCCTGAAACGCCTCTTTGGCGTTATTGAGGAAGGCCACGGCTTGACCTCGCTGCAGCAGCACCGACCAGTGCTGGCGGACTTGCTGCAGCAGTTTGCCGTTTGGGTGGATTTGATAGGCATGCACTTAGTTCAGGCTTGGCCGCTGACGGCGAGCCCGGGCTGAGCCGACTCTTGCTGAGGTGGTGGCATCCACACCGGGGAAGGGGAGGCCTAGGTTTAAGGTAAGCGCGGTCACAAAGAGGGAAGGGGACGATCAGTAGCCAGTCGCCCGCCTCAGCCGAAATGGGAGGGCAACTGCTGGGTGAGGTGGTCGTGTGGGTTCAGTCCACCATGCGCGAGGCGGCCACCAGCTCGGCGTAGCCATGTCCTCGGACCTCAAGCACAAGGTCGCACTGCAGCGGGCCGTGCTGAGTCGTGCTAAGTGCGCATGGAGGCTTAAACCTGAACCAGGCCGTTGTGTGTCATAGATCTCACTGCATTGATTCTTACACACACTCTCTAGTTTTGAGATCAACAGAGCAGCATTCATGCTCACTACTCATCCTCACTCACACAGAAGCTTGGCAAGGAACTTAGCTTACCAGGCCCATTCCAGCTGGCATTAGAGACCTTAGAAGCTTGGACTTACTTGAGGTCGTGTGAAGTAGGGAGCAGTCGAGGATCCACATTTCGTTTGAATGGTGCACTGTTGTAGAAGCGGGAGGGAGCTGCTTTCGTTTAAGGGGTGTTGGCCATATTCTTGGTTGCTGAGCAGAGCCATGCGACTCCTGTTTCATCTCCCACGTCCCGTTCGCCTTCCCTGCACCCATCTGCGTGCCCCTCCCCCGCCTTTCCCTTGCCCACCCCAGCAACCATCTCCCTCCCTTTGCTCCCTCCTTCCCCCCGTGTGCCCCACTTAGCCCATCTTTTCCTTTGAAAGGAGATGGCTCTCTCTCCTTTCTCTAGATCAATGGTTCCTTAACGAAGCCCCATTCCTCCTTGCTGTGCTTTCTTTGTGTGCTACTTTCTTACACCTAAATTCCTTCCTATGTGTGCCTCCCATTCAGCCCCCCCCCACTCTCTTCCCCCCCCGACCCCCCCCTCCCTCCCCCCCTCCCTCTTTTTCCCCCCCCTCTCTCCTGTCACACTCCCCTCACAACCGCCTTTCCCCCATCTTCCCCTCCGTCATGCCCCGCCTCCTGTTATTATCCACCGCGTGTTTCTGCATCCCATTCGTCCACCCATTGCTATACATCCTTTTTCGTACCACCTTTCTCCATGCTGCTCATCTTTTCCTTTACCTGTCCGCCCCCTTTCAACTTCTCTCCTGTTTTGCACACCTTCCGCTCGTTCCCTCGTTTTTCCCTCCTGCCATCTCAGTGATTGTTCTCATAACAACCTCAGTGGCTCAATTCCTGCCAGTATCGGCTCGCTTGCCCACCTGGTATACCTGTAAGTTCTGTGCTTCGCTTCGCCCTCGTACCTCTTCTCCTGCACTCCTGGCTAACTCCTACCTCTCAACCCGCCTTCGCGTCTGGTGCATTGGTTGTCCGGCTTGAGATGTCGTGGAGGTCCGCAATCCCTGTAGACGGTCGAGTGGCGGCGCCGGTGTATGGGCGTTGTCCTATCAACTTTGTAGATCTTGTGTGGCGTTCCGCTGAATCTGGTGATTGGCTTTGTTCAAACCTGCGGTTGGAGGTAGGCATGAGCAAAACCGGGTATTTGCACGACCCGACCCGGTTTTGCTATACCCGACTTCGGGTCGGGTATTTTTGGGTCGGGTACGGGTCGGGTACGGGTCGGGTAACATGCCCAGGACCAATACCCGGACCCGGGATTTGGGGGCGGGTAATTTAATACCCGCCCTGCGGGTCCGGGTATACCCGATCCGGTATTACCACTCTGAATGCATCTGTATCTACGAAACCGAACCCTTGCCAATCTACATTGCTCTAAGTGACCTAGCAACTCACGTAACCTAGAAACTTGATGAAATTTCTCTACCAGCGCGACTAATGTCTCGCTGGTTCCGTCGGGTAGACCGCTACCCGATTTCGGGTCGGGTACCCGCTACCCGACACGTCGGGTAGCATTTCGGGTACCGGGTATTGAATACCCGCCCGGGTAACCCGGACCCGACCCGCCGGGTAATATTCAGGATTTCCGATACCCGACCCGCCCTAAAAGCGGATCCGGGTACCGGGTACCCGACCCGGGCGGGTAGTATGCTCAACCCTAGTTGGAGGCCGCCGACGCGAGCCGCAATAATGAGACCGCCGGAGCGGTCTTATGGGGCTCGGGGAATACCTGTATAGAGTAGGGGTACCCCCCCTCTGTCCCCGCCTCTCTTTTTTTTTCCCTCTTCCCTACCCAATCCCTTTTCCCCCACCTCCCCTCCGTCATGACCCCCCTCCTGTTCTCATCCACCGCGTGTTTCTGCATCCCATTCGTCTAGGCTTGAGCAACGGGTCGGGTCGGGTCGGGTAACCCGACCCGAACCCGACTTTTTGACGGGTCGGGTCGACATTTGCGGAAGGTTGACCCGACCTTCGGGTACCCGACCCGACCCGACCCGACCCGACCGATAAAACGTGACCCGTCGGGTCGGCTTATTACCCGTCCCTGCCCCTATGCCAACCCGACCCGACCCGACCCGAAATCGGGTTAGGTAGAACCCGACCTATTAAACACGGGTCGGGTTGACATTTCCTGAACTCCGACCCGACTTGACCCGACCCGACCCGACCCGAACCCGACATCGGGTAGGGCAAAGTCGGGTCGGGTCGGGTCGGGTCGGGTTCATGCTCAAGCCTACATTCGTCCATCCATAGCTACATATCCGGTTTTAGTACCACCTTTCTCCACTGCTCATCTTTCCTTCGCTCTCCCCTCCACACATCCCACTTCTCTCCTGTTTTGCACATCTTCCTCTCTTTCCCCCCTTTTTTCCTCCTGCCATCAAAGCTGTATTGCTTCTAACCAGCTCAGTGGCTCAATCCCTCCCAGCATCAGCTCATTTGCTCAACTGACAGGCCTGTAAGTTCTATGCTTTGCTTCGCCCTCGTACCTCTTCTCCTGCACTCCTGGCTAACTCCTACCTCTCAACCCGCCTTCGCGGCTGGTGCATTGGTTGCCCGGCTTGAGATGTCGTGGAGGTCCGCAATCCCTGTAGACGGTCGAGTGGCGGCGCCGGTGTATGGGCGTTGCACTATTGACTTTGTAGATCTTGTGTGGTGTTCCGCTGAATCTAGAGATTGACTTTGTTCAAACCTGCGGTTGGAAACCAAAATGTGAGGTGCAAGAGGAAGGCCGCCGGCGCAGTCTTAGGTGGCTCGGGGAATACCTCTATAGTGTTGGGGTACCCAAGGTAGAGGGACTCGTCTGGTGAGCCTGAGCCGCCTCATTGGCGTTATGGAGGAAGGCCACGGCTTGACCTCGCTGCAGCATCACTGACCAGTACTGGCGGAACTGCTGCAGCAGTTCGCCGTTTGGGTGGATTTGATAGGCATGCACTTAGTTCAGGCTTGGCCGCGGACGGCGAGCCCGGGCTGAGCCGACTCTTGCTGAGGTGGCAGCATCCACCCCGGGGAAGGGGAGGCCTAGGTTTAAGGTAAGCGCGGTCGCGAAGCGAGTGGCGGAAGGGGACGACCAGTAGCCAGTCGCCCGCCTCAGCCGAAATGGGAGGGCAACTGCTGGGTGAGGTGGTCGTGTGGGTTCAGTCCACCATGCGCGAGGCGGCCACCAGCTCGTCGTAACCAGGTCGCACTGCAGCGGGCCTTGCTGAGTCGTGCTAAGTGTGCATGGGGGCTTTGACCTGAACCAGGCCGTTGAACGTCATAGATCACACTGCATTGGTTGTTACATCCACTCTCTAATTTGGAGATTTGGCAGTCAATGAGCTTACCGGGCCCATCCCAGTTGGAATTGGAAGCCTTAGTAACTTGCTTATCTTGTAAGTAGGCTTGAGCATAGACCCGACCCGACCCGACCCGACCCGACTTTGCCCCACCCGAAGTCGGGTGCGGGTCGGGTCGGGTCGGGTCAAGTCGGGTTTTTCGGTCTGAAAAAACCAACCCGACCCGGGTTTGAAGGGTCGGGTTTAAAGAAACCCGATGTCGGGTCGGGTCGGGTCGGGTTATAGCAGGGCAGGAACGGGTTTTTGGACCCGTCAGTTTGTTTTATGGGTTTGGGGTCACCCAGGTGGGTTTTATACTGTTTGGTGACCGTGTCTTTGTGGCTTTGTTCATTGTGCTACCCTAACAAGCAGCATTTGGTTTTTGTGCATTGTAAAACACAATTGCTAGCCTGATATGTGACTACACTGACGTCGTGTAGCACGGACGTTGTGTCTAACACTGAAGGTTGCTTTTATGTTGCAAGTCTAGGGCTGCACAAATCACACACACAGCCCAACCATTTCGGCCAGCCATGAAACCTCCATCATCCCCCTCTTACCAAATGAGGCCATCACAACCCAAAGTCCTCACCCTCGATGCAAAGCTCCTTCAATGCGTGTGCAGCTGCCGGCCCCAAGAGCTGCTCACCCTGGTGCTCTGTCATCCATGACTTGATCGTCATGGATGCACGCACCTGGGAGGCGCTCAACCGGTGGCGCTGCCACGACACTATGCCTCGCCCCTGACTAAACGCTCTCTCGCTAGCAGCAGATGTGGCCGGGATCGCCAAGTAGTCGCGAGCCATGGCCCGTAGGCCAGGCAGGTCTACCCTGTTGTGCCAGAGTTTTAGGGGGCAGCCAACCTTAAGCCGGGGCTGTGCTAGGTACCTCTCCAGCTCATCGGGTGCCATCGGGTGCCTTGACCCCCGCCGATGCCGCCTGCTTGTCCATCTTGGCAAACAGCTCATCCACCAGATCATCCCCCCCTCCCACAACCGAACTGCCGCCCTCGCCCCCGGCGCCCCACTCGACATGAACCGCTGTAGGTCTGCTGGTCCCCTCCGTCCCCTTTGTCTCCCCACCGTCCTGCAGCTTAGCCAAGTACCTGCCGAGACGCTTCCGAACCAGCTTCGCCACCCTCTCCTTGTCCAGCACAGGGACCACTCTGGCCGTGCCTGCAGTGTCGGTGGCCAGCTGCTCGTTCTCTGCCTCCCACCGCGGAAGCCTAAAGTAGTGCTTGTAGCGGGGGTCGAGCATGGTGGCCACTGCCAGCTCCTTCGCCACCCCGTACTCGTACTTCTTCAGGACGTCCAGCGCCTCCCATGCCATGTCTTTAATCACAGGCGTGGTCTTCTTGCTGTGGTACATCGTCTCGAGGTTGTCGATGAGCAGGTTGTACTGAGGGACTACCGCGGCGGCTGTTGGATACAGCGATCCCTTAGCCGCTGTGGTGAGGGAGTTGAACGGCTTAAGAAAAGCTGCCACCTCCACAAGGGTCTCCCAATGGTCGTCCCTCAGGCGGTACTTGCTATGGGATTCTGCCTGCTTCTTGGAGGAGCTTCCGGGCTGGAGGGTTCAGCGGGGTGGACACGGGACAGGGGGGGGGGGGAAATAGGAGAGGAAGGACAGAGTGAGATGTGAGGGCATGCCTTTTTGGCATGCCATGAGCCATGTGTCATGCCATGCCATGCCATGCCATGCCATGTCATGTCATGTGCTAGACTTGAGCATTTTACCCGGTCGGGTCGCAGGTACCCGACCCGACCCGACATTTTGGCCGGGTCGGGTAATAGGATTTTGACGAATTACCCGGCCGGGTCGGGTCGGGTACTCAGGCCGGGTAATGCATACCCGTTACCCGAGAATTACCCAAAATGTCGGGTAATTTATTACCCATCGGGTCGCGGGTACCCGACCCGACTTTGGGTTTGTTACTCTGGGTTTGCTGAATTCTACAGTCACCTAGGGGTAGACATGGCTAAAATGCGATGCGATGCGATATCGCATCGCATTTTGTCATATCGCGCGTGATATCGCAGCGATGCGATATCGCATCGCTGCGATATTCTGTTTCAAAAATTGAAATCGCATATCGCTTTTTAGGGTGCGATGTTTCAAAATATCGCACCCATGAATGCGATGTATCGCGCGATGCGATTTAATATCGCATCGCATTTAGGGGTTGGAGGAGAAAAGCAGAACGACAAGGCCGGCTTTCCTAGGTGCGTGAGGAATTAGGTGAGTGAACTTTAACGGGAGAATGGGATATCGTAGCCCCTCTCTGATGTAAAGCGTGTTAGAGGGGCAGGGGTTGGATTCCGTGGATGTGGAGGAATGTAGTGCGGTTGAAGTGGTGGAAATTGGTTGGACTTCCAACCAATTGACTTAGTGGGGTCGAGATTTCAATCAACCCCCTAAATCCCTTTAACCGCACACCACCACATTCCATCCACCACCGCCCATGTCAAAATTTGAACCTCCAACCAACTCCTTTCCCTCAACCGCACTGCACTCCTTTTCAACTAGAATTTCCAACCCTTCCTCTCCAAGCTCCTCACAAACACCTCACAGTCAATCACGCCAACCCCAAACAGCCGCGCGCAGTTTCCGCACGCCATTACAACCAGAGAACCCTAAGTTCAGGGCCCGCGCCCATGTTCCCCCCCCTTTCTGGCACAATCCCACGACGCGATATGCGGATGTATGTCGCGCGATATTTTAATATCGCATATCGCATTACATCGCGCTGAAAAATCCGCGATAAATGCGCGATATCGCAAAAATCGCGCGATATTATCGCATCGCATCGCTGCGATTTTAAACTTCAAAAAAGAAGAATCGCTATCGCAAAATGCGATAAAATGCGATGCGATATATCGCGATGCGATGCGATATACCCATGTCTACCTAGGGGTACCCGGGTAATATTACCCGACTTCAATTAAATGCGGGTCGGGTATACCCGACCCGACAGACGGGTACCCAATTACCCGGTATTAAAATGTCGGGTCGGGTAACAGACCTCCAAACATTACCCCGAAATTACCCGACCCGACCCGACCCGGACCCGATTGCGGTGCGGGTAGGGCAAAACCGGGTCGGGTCGGGTAATTACCCGGTTTTGCTCATGTCTATCATGTGCCATGCCATGCGTCATGCCATGCCATGCGCCATGCCATGCCATGCCATGCGCCATGCCATGCCATGTCATGTCATGTGCCATGCCATGTGCCATGCCATGCCATGCGCCATGCCATGCCATGCCATGCGCCATGCCATGCACTGCGCCATGTCATGCTTACCTCCGGCTGGGACAAGTACACCATGAGGGCCGTCTTGAGGTCGATAGCACGCCTTAGCATGTCATAGGTGGAGCCCCAACGAGTGGGGGTGTCAGTCATGAGTCGCAGCACCCCCACGCCTGGGGCATCCGCAACTCGAAGCTGGTCCTCCTCGAAACGCTCCGAGCGCGTGACAGACCAACATGCGTAGCGAGGTCCCTCAGACGCTTCAGCGGCTCGGCGACCGCCCCCACTGCTAATGCCCGTTGAACCGCCAGGTTCAAGATGTGCGCAAGGAGATAGAGGAGGACATAAGCTCGCAATTAATATGCACGAGATAGAGTGGAAGCGCATGCAAGGAGCTCTCTTTCTAACACATTACCTGAAGTGCATGTTCGTCTGCAAGATTGCATTGGTGGTGCGGGCCCTCGGGTATGTCTTGTCGCCCGCCAGGATCTTGAAGGCCTTGGCATTGTTCTCGGCGTTGTCTGTCGTCGCGCCGAAGACTTGGTCTAGCAGCTGCCAGTCGATGAGTACCTTCTCGAACATATCAGCAATGAGATCTCCTGTGTGGGACCCATGCAGCTGCTCAAACTCGAACGTTGCCTGGCGCAACTTGAAGTCCGAGGTGATGTAACGGCCGGTGACCGCCATGAAGGCTTGCTTGCTGGGGCTGGTCCAGATGTCAGTCGTGAAGGAAACCTTCCCTGTTGCCCCGTCTCCAACCACCTCCTGCTGCAGCCACTCGCGTGCAGCATTCCCATGCGTCAACATGTCCCGCGCTAGTCGAAAACGACTGCCGAGCATGCCGGCAACTTGTGGGTTCAGCAGCGAGCAGAACCGCTGGAACTGTGGGTGGGATGGGTGTGGAAAGGCGGAGAGGACAGCAATGCTTGAGTCATTGGATGGTTTGCAGACAAGGGAACACAACAAGTGTAGGCCAGCAAACTCTACAAACTCTCCAATCCAAGCAGACAAGGGCTTACCGAAGGGCGCTCGACAAGACGGTACGCCAGGTCGGCGTTGGCAAACAGCTCGGCGAGCGCCTGCCGCAGTCGTTGCAAGGACAAACGGGGAGCCATAAACTTGTGGAGGTTTGTCTGCCCGGACCCCGCCTCTGCCAGCGCCTCCGCAGCCCCAGCAGGAATCCTCAGCCAGCTGGCAGCATGTGGCCAAAGCTCCTTCTGGTGCGGCACCTCTGGGTACACTTTAAGCGGAAACTCCAGTCCTGGCTTCTTTTTGGGGTCTGTGAAGAGACGGCGCCAGATCTGGAGGTGGGGCATGTGATAAAGACGAACATGCTTCCATGCGCTGCCAGTGCTGCTGCGCGCCCAGTACACAGTGGCCCCGCAGCACTTGCAAGAACGCTTGTGTGGATCATCTGTCTCCAAGTACATACCCTGCATAAGGCCTGGAGTCCTTGCCCCAGTGCCCTCCTCCTCGACCTCCTCGACCTCCTCCTCCTCCTCCTCCTCCTCCTCCTCCTCCTCCTCCTCCTCCTCCTCCTCCTCCTCCTCCTCCTCCTCCTCCTCCTCCTCCTCCTCCTCCTCCTCCTCCTCCTCCTCCTCCTCCTCCTCCTCCTCCTCCTCCTCCTCCTCCTCCTCCTCCTCCTCCTCCTCCTCCTCCTCCTCCTCCTCCTCCTCCTCCTCCTCCTCCTCCTCCTCCTCCTCCTCCTCCTCCTCCTCCTCCTCCTCCTCCTCCTCCTCCTCCTCCTCCTCCTCCTCCTCCTCCTCCTCCTCCTCCTCCTCCTCCTCCTCCTCCTCCTCCTCCTCCTCCTCCTCCTCCTCCTCCTCCTCCTCCTCCTCCTCCTCATCCACCCCTCTAGCGCGCTTGCTCCGTGCCCCACCAGCCCCTGCAGTTCCCCCTCCGCGTCCACGACCCCTAGCACGCAACGGAATCTCCCCCCCTCGCCCCCGACCTCTACCTCCCGTCCCTTCCCCGCTCACTGCTTCACCACGCCCGCCACTCCCTTCAGACCCACCCCGCGCTCTTCCCCACCTCTTGCCGCGATCGCCTCTCTTGCTACCCCTATCTCCACCACCCAAGCCACCACCAGCGCCCGTCTTACTGGCGTCTCCCCCCTTAGCACCCCCAACCACACCCGGCTGGCCTCTGCCCTCCCCCTCTACTGCGCCTGCTGGTGCGTCTGCCGCCTCTCCCTCGACGCCCGCCCCTCTCCCACGCCCCCCCCTAAACCCTTCCCACTCTTCTTCCCCCTCCCCATCCTTCCCTCACGCCCTCCATCATCCCCTGACTCATCATCCTCTAGCTCCTCATCCGGGACATAATCCTTGTCCTCGCCACGCCTTTCGCCCTTCGCCCCTGCGGTGGGTTCCGGGATCCAGTTCCTCCCCCACCCCTCGTCGTCCATACTGAACTCCCGGTGCCACACGCCTTCCCACTCGTTGCTGCCGGCGTTGATGGAGCCAAGGGCAAAGCTCTGAGGCCCTCCGGCGACAGGCACAAGGGCAAGGGACATCCCGGGCAGCGCCGCACTTTCAGCGCCCGTATGCTGCGACCCGCCGCCCGTGCTATGTCCCGCTACTCCGCCTTCTCCCCCCTCAGTCCGCCCTCTGCCGTTGTTGTTGGAACCGCCGCCGTCCATGTCGCCTCCTCAACCCTAAACCCTGATCGGCCCAATGTCCACTCGCGGTAAAAGGTCTGGATGGCTGCACTACAACCGTACTTGCGAAAGACTAAAACGTTCGCTCCCTTACTGGCCTACTTGCGAAATTTCAAACACCAGCGAAATGCGGCCCGTTCCACCCTAGAAACTAAGTTCCTTCCCTCAGTTGCTTAGTTTCTGCCTAAGGATGAGAAGGACCAGCTTAAAATACAAAACTAACCGTTAGGAAACCCTGTTTGCTAGATAGGAAGGAGCCATAGTCTAGGTCGAGACTGAACACACAACTTACTGGTTGAAATTTCGACCTTTTGTTCGAAATTTTGCCATCTCTGCTGCTGGTCTCAAAAATCGCGACGGGTACAGTCGCGACCCGACATCGGGTCGGGTCGGGTCGGGTCAACCCGACGACAAATACCCGACGTCGGGTCGGGTAAACCCGACATGTCGGCTTGAACCCGAACCCGGGGATGTCGGGTTCGGGTTGACCCAACCCGTCGGGAAAAAATCAAACCCGACGGGTCGGGTTCTTCCTACGGGAACTTGAACCCGACCCGTAAAAAAATAACCCGACCCGACTCAACCCGTTGCTCAAGCCTACTTGTAAGTCGTGTGAATCAAGCATCAGCTAAGGACCCACGTTTCCTTTGAATGATGCACTGTTGTAGAAACGGGAGGAGGCCAACGGGAGGGAGCTCCTTTTGTTTAGGGGGTTTTGGCCAAATTATTGCCATTGCTGTGTGCAGAACCATACGACTCTTGTTTCATCTCCCACCTCCCATTCGCCTTCCATACGTGCACCCATCTGCGTGCCCCTCCCCCGCCTTTCCCTTGCCCTCCCCCCCCCGCCTTCTCCCAGCAACCATCCCCGTCCCTTTGCTCCCTCCTTCCCCCCCTGTGCCCCACTTAGCCCATCTTTTCCTTTGCAGTCGTCTCGCTATAATTCGCCCACATCATCAACTTGTTTCTGGCACCATTTCCCAATCCATGATCATTGCATCTCTACGGCTCTCCTCGTCCCAATTCCAGAGCATGCTCAGACGTCTCGCTGTAATATGACCGCCTTAAGGCGTTTGGTGTAAGCTGCTGCCGAGGACCCAAATTTGGGATGAATCTTGCTTGCGCTGTTCTATGAGAAGGCGCGCGATGCCTTTGGTTGGGCGTGCTGCTGTCCCGCCTGCCATGCTCACTCACTCTATTCTCATCTCACTTCTTCCAACCCACGCCACACAGGAACTTTGCTCCAAGTCCACTGTGCGCCAAGCAATGCTTCCCACCATGCTCGTCCCACCGCCCGCTTGGGTGGCTTGGATCTCTGCTGCCATGCCCACTTTTCTTATCTTACGCTTTGGACCCTTTTCACACAGGGATCTCACGTACAACAATTTGTCTGGCTCCATTCCCGACGGCATCAGCTTGCTGGCTCTGCTCTCCACGCTGTAGGGAGTTTCGTAGAATCGTATTCTAAGGTTGCATCGTGCTTACCCACCTCGCCTTTTGATTTTGACACTCTTCCCCCATTCCCCCTTGCTTAGTCGCGGGTGCTTCCTCGTTCCAGCTCTGAAGCATGCTTTGATGAGCTCTGCGCAGCAGCATGGCACCTAAAACTTGTAGCACCTGTGCACTCTAATCTGCATGCTCCCACCTTCCCCCCCTCTCCGATGTGCTTCCGTTTTTACTTTGGTACTCCTTGATTTCACTGGCCTGCGGGACTGACCAATAAATTCTGCTGTTTTGACTGTTTCTTACCAGCTCTCATATTGAACTACAAATAGTGCCGTATGCGTGCCCCTTTCGCACCTATCTGACCAGTCATCTGGGGAACAATCAGCTTACTGGGATAATTCCTGGTGGAATTGGAGAACTCACTCACTTGACCTCGCTGTAAGCTGCTTGACATGTCTGAGGATCCTCATTTTGTTCTACTTGAGCGCAGTTGTATAGATAGCACGCGCTGCTTTGATTAGGGGGGTGTTGGCGATGCTCTTGGATTGCTGCGTGTTGGAGCTAGAAGACACCTTTTTCATCTCCCCCCTCCCATTCACCTTTTCTGTGTGCACCCTCCGCATGCTTCTCCCTGCCTTTCTTGTACTCACCCCAGCATCCTCCCAGCCGCAATCCTCCCAAAAGACAAGTCTCCACCTTTCCACATTTTCTTCATCTCCCACCTCCCACTCACATCTTGTTGACCACCTTCCTCTTACCGTGTCTGCTATTCACTCAGCTCTTCTTCCTTCTAACTGTTCAAGTCACAACCCGCCCCTTGCTCATTCAAAAGCCGACAAAGCAGTATTCATGCCCACTTAGGGATCCGTATGAAATTGGAAACAACCCTGAAGTAGTATTTCTGTAAGCCGTGTGAAGTGTGCTGGTGCCGAGGACCCAATATAGCACCGAGCGGCTTCTGTTTGGTTGGCGTTGGAAATGCTCTTTTAGGAAGAGAAGGGTGGTTCAGCTGTTTGGCGAGCATCACCTCGTTCTCTGCTCTGAGCTGCCTGCAAGGAGTTCACGTGATCGTGTGTCATGGCGACCACGCTTGCCCATTGGTGTTGTGTCTCTACGGCTCTCCTCGCCCCAATTCCAAAGCATGCTCGGATGATTTCTGACCAGTTGAATGGCACCTGCACCTATGTGTCAGGCATGCCCTCTGCAGTATATCCACCTCTCTCGGTTCTGACTTTCCTAGCTTGTGGACTATCCACTGAGCCCTCATATTTCACCGCTTCTGCTGATGAATGCAATCTTGCCGAGCCTTTTTCAGCTGGAATCAGACGTCTCGCTGCATTGTGAGGTGTTTGGTGTAAGCTGCTGCCGAGGACCCAAATTTGGGATGAATCTTGCTTGCCCTGTTCTATGAGAAGGCGCGCGATGCCTTTGGTTGGGCGTGCTGCTGTCCCGCCTGCCATGCTCACTCTATTCTCGTCTCACTTCTTCCAACCCACGCCACACAGGAACCTCGCGTCCAACTCTTTGAAAGGCTCCATTCCCCATTACATGAGCAGGTTAACTGGCCTCACGTATCTGTACGAAGCCCAGTAGAGTTATGTCCCAAGGTTGCATTGCATTTGCCCACAGCATCAACTTGTTTCTGGCACCATTTCCCAATCCATGATTGTTGGGACTCTACGGCTCTCCTCGTCCCAATTCCAGAGCATGCTCGGATGATTTCTGACCAGTTGAATGGCACCTGCACCTATGTGTCAGGCATGCCCTCTGCAGTATATCCACCTCTCTCGGTTCTGACTTTCCTAGCTTGTGGACTATCCACTGAGCCCTCATATTTCACCGCTTCTGCTGATGAATGCAATCTTAACCCTTTTCAGCTGGAATCAGACGTCTCGCTGCATTGTGAGGTGTTTGGTGTAAGCTGCTGCCGAGGACCCAAATTTGGGATGAATCTTGCTTGCCCTGTTCTATGAGAAGGCGCGCGATGCCTTTGGTTGGGCGTGCTGCTGTCCCGCCTGCCATGCTCACTCTATTCTCATCTCACTTCTTCCAACCCACGCCACACAGGAACCTCGCGTCCAACTCTTTGAAAGGCTCCATTCCCCATTACATTGGCTGGTTAACTGACCTCACGTATCTGTACGAAGCCCAGTAGAATTATGTCCCAAGATTGCATCGCATTTGCCCACAGCATCAACTTGTTTCTGGCACCATTTCCCAATCCATGATCGTTGCGTCTCTACGGCTCTCCTCGTCCCAATTCCAGAGCATGCTCGGATGATTTCTGACCAGTTGAATGGCACCTGCACCTATGTGTCAGGCATGCCCTCTGCAGTATATCCACCTCTCTCGGTTCTGACTTTCCTAGCTTGTGGACTATCCACTGAGCCCTCATATTTCACCGCTTCTGCTGATGAATGCAATCTTGCCGAACCCTTTTCAGCTGGAATCAGACGTCTCACTGCATTGTGAGGTGTTTGGTGTAAGCTGCTGCCGAGGACCCAAATTTGGGATGAATCTTGCTTGCCCTGTTCTATGAGAAGGCGCGCGATGCCTGTGGTTGGGCGTGCTGCTGTCCCACCTGCCATGCTCACTCTATTCTCATTCACTTCTTCCAACCAACCCACGCCACACAGGAACTTTGCTCCAAGTCCACTGTGCGCCAAGCAATGCTTCCCACCATGCTCGTCCCACCGCCCGCTTGGGTGGCTTGGATCGCTGCTGCCATGCCCACTTTCCTCATCTTACGCTTCGGACCCTTGTCACACAGGGATCTCACGTACAACAATTTGTCTGGCTCCATTCCCGACGGCATCAGCTTGCTGGCTCTGCTCTCCACGCTGTAGGGAGTTTCGTAGAATCGTATTCTAAGGTTGCATCGTGCTTACCCACCTCGCCTTTTGATTTTGACACTCTTCCCCCATTCCCCCTTGCTTAGTCGCGGGTGCTTCCTCGTTCCAGCTCTGAAGCATGCTTTGATGAGCTCTGCGCAGCAGCATGGCACCTAAAACTTGTAGCACCTGTGCACTCTAATCTGCATGCTCCCACCTTCCCCCCCTCTCCAATGTGCTTCCGTTTTTACTTTGGTACTCCTTGATTTCACTGGCCTGCGGGACTGACCAATAAATTCTGCTGTTTTGACTGTTTCTTACCAGCTCTCATATTGAACTACAAATAGTGCCGTATGCGTGCCCCTTTCGCACCTATCTGACCAGTCATCTGGGGAACAATCAGCTTACTGGGATAATTCCTGGTGGAATTGGAGAACTCACTCACTTGACCTCGCTGTAAGCTGCTTGACATGTCTGAGGATCCTCATTTTGTTCTACTTGAGCGCAGTTGTATAGATAGCACGCGCTGCTTTGATTACGGGGGTGTTGGCGATGCTCTTGGATTGCTGCGTGTTGGAGCTAGAAGACACCTTTTTCATCTCCCCCCTCCCATTCACCTTTTCTGTGTGCACCCTCCGCATGCTTCTCCCTGCCTTTCTTGTACTCACCCCAGCATCCTCCCAGCCGCAATCCTCCCAAAAGACAAGTCTCCACCTTTCCACATTTTCTTCATCTCCCACCTCCCACTCACATCTTGTTGACCACCTTCCTCTTACCGTGTCTGCTATTCACTCAGCTCTTCTTCCTTCTAACTGTTCAAGTCACAACCCGCCCCTTGCTCATTCAAAAGCCGACAAAGCAGTATTCATGCCTGTTTGGTTGGCATTGGAAATGCTCTTTTAGGAAGAGAAGGGTGGTTCAGCTGTTTGGCGAGCATCACCTCGTTCTCTGCTCTGAGCTGCCTGCAAGGAGTTCACGTGATCATGTGTCATGGCGACCACGCTTGCCCATTGGTGTTGTGTCTCTACGGCTCTCCTCGCCCCAATTCCAAAGCATGCTCGGATGATTTCTGACCAGTTGAATGGCACCTGCACCTATGTGTCAGGCATGCCCTCTGCAGTATATCCACCTCTCTCGGTTCTGACTTTCCTAGCTTGTGGACTATCCACTGAGCCCTCATATTTCACCGCTTCTGCTGATGAATGCAATCTTGCCGAGCCTTTTTCAGCTGGAATCAGACGTCTCGCTGCATTGTGAGGTGTTTGGTGTAAGCTGCTGCCGAGGACCCAAATTTGGGATGAATCTTGCTTGCGCTGTTCTATGAGAAGGCGCGCGATCCCTTTGGTTGGGCGTGCTGCTGTCCCGCCTGCCATGCTCACTCACTCTATTCTCATCTCACTTCTTCCAACCAACCCACGCCACACAGGAACTTTGCTCCAAGTCCACTGTGCGCCAAGCAATGCTTCCCACCATGCTCGCCCCACCGCCCGCTTGGGTGGCTTGGATCGCTGCTGCCATGCCCACTTTTCTCATCTTACGCTTCGAACCCTTGTCACACAGGGAACTCACGTACAACAATTTGTCTGGCTCCATTCCCGACGGCATCAGCTTGCTGGCTCTGCTCTCCACGCTGTAGGGAGTTTCGTAGAATCGTATTCTAAGGTTGCATCGTGCTTACCCACCTCGCCTTTTGATTTTGACACTCTTCCCCCATTCCCCCTTGCTTAGTCGCGGGTGCTTCCTCGTTCCAGCTCTGAAGCATGCTTTGATGAGCTCTGCGCAGCAGCATGGCACCTAAAACTTGTAGCACCTGTGCACTCTAATCTGCATGCTCCCACCTTCCCCCCCTCTCCGATGTGCTTCCGTTTTTACTTTGGTACTCCTTGATTTCACTGGCCTGCGGGACTGACCAATAAATTCTGCTGTTTTGACTGTTTCTTACCAGCTCTCATATTGAACTACAAATAGTGCCGTATGCGTGCCCCTTTCGCACCTATCTGACCAGTCATCTGGGGAACAATCAGCTTACTGGGATAATTCCTGGTGGAATTGGAGAACTCACTCACTTGACCTCGCTGTAAGCTGCTTGACATGTCTGAGGATCCTCATTTTGTTCTACTTGAGCGCAGTTGTATAGATAGCACGCGCTGCTTTGATTAGGGGGGTGTTGGCGATGCTCTTGGATTGCTGCGTGTTGGAGCTAGAAGACACCTTTTTCATCTCCCCCCTCCCATTCACCTTTTCTGTGTGCACCCTCCGCATGCTTCTCCCTGCCTTTCTTGTACTCACCCCAGCATCCTCCCAGCCGCAATCCTCCCAAAAGACAAGTCTCCACCTTTCCACATTTTCTTCATCTCCCACCTCCCACTCACATCTTGTTGACCACCTTCCTCTTACCGTGTCTGCTATTCACTCAGCTCTTCTTCCTTCTAACTGTTCAAGTCACAACCCGCCCCTTGCTCATTCAAAAGCCGACAAAGCAGTATTCATGCCCACTTAGGGATCCGTATGAAATTGGAAACAACCCTGAAGTAGTATTTCTGTAAGCCGTGTGAAGTGTGCTGGTGCCGAGGACCCAATATAGCACCGAGCGGCTTCTGTTTGGTTGGCGTTGGAAATGCTCTTTTAGGAAGAGAAGGGTGGTTCAGCTGTTTGGCGAGCATCACCTCGTTCTCTGCTCTGAGCTGCCTGCAAGGAGTTCACGTGATCGTGTGTCATGGCGACCACGCTTGCCCATTGGTGTTGTGTCTCTACGGCTCTCCTCGCCCCAGTTCCTAAGCATGCTCGGATGATTTCTGACCAGTTGAACGGCACCTGCACCTATGTGTCAGGCATGCCCTCTGCAGTATATCCACCTCTCTCGGTTCTGACTTTCCTAGCTTGTGGACTATCCACTGAGCCCTCATATTTCACCGCTTCTGCTGATGAATGCAATTTCGCCGAACCCTTTTCAGCTGGAATCAGACGTCTCGCTGTATTGTGACCGCCTTAAGGCGTTTGGTGTAAGCTGCTGCCGAGGATCCAAATTTGGGATGAATCTTGCTTGCGCTGTTCTATGAGAAGGCGCGCGATGCCTTTGGTTGGGCGTGCTGCTGTCCCGCCTGCCATGCTCACTCTATTCTCGTCTCACTTCTTCCAACCCACGCCACACAGGAACCTCGCGTCCAACTCTTTGAAAGGCTCCGTTCCCGACGGCATCACCTTGCTTGCTCAGCTCTCCCATCTGTACAAAGCCCACTAGAAATATCGTTGCATCGCACTTTCCCACAGCATCCTACTTGCTTCTGGCACCATTTTCCAATCCATGCTCGTTGGGTTTCTAGGGATCCGCTTACCCCTGTTTCAAGGCATGCTGGGAGATCTGATCAGCTGAATGGTCCACCTTGAAGCTGCCATGTTTTCTTCGTGCTGGCACCTCTCAACGAAGTGCCACTTAATGTTTTTTATTGACCTATTGAACTAAGCTGTCAGCTGTACTTCGTTGTTCTTGAAGTGTTCGAAACAATGCGCACCCCGCCTGTCAGAAGGCTAAGAGAGATGTAATATAGGCCACTTTCCACCCGCTTTGATCAGGTGTCTGAGTGAGAATCATATTACGGGGTCTTTTCCAGCTTGATTTGGGAACCTCGCATCATTGGAGTACCTGTAAGCCATGTGAGATAGGATAAAGCTGAAGGACATGATTGGCTTTATGAGAGTGGCCTTCTAGGACGAGAAGGGTGGTTCAGCTGTTTGGCGAGTATCACCTCGTTCTCTGCTATGAGGTGCCATCTGCAAGGAGTTCACGTGATCATGTGCCATTTCATCTATTATTGCCCATTGGTGGTATTCTCTAGTCCTCTCCTCGCCCCCATTTCCGAGCATGCTTTGTTGGGCGTTGAGCAGTTGCATGTCTCTTTTCCACCTATGTGTCAGCCATCCCTTCTGCAATACATCTGATCTCATACAATCTGTCAGTTCTGACTTCCCTTGCTTGTTGGACTATCCAATGTAATCTTCTTATACTTCATCCCTTTTGCTGTTGAAATCAAACTTACTGGGCCTATTCCAGCTGGATTTAGACGCATTACTGTGTTGATATCATTGAAAGGTGTTGGTGTAGCTGTTTGGTGTTTGGTGCATAAGAGTGAGCTGCCTTTGGTTGGGTGTTTCCTGTGTCCTTTGCATTGCTGTGTGGAGCCAGAACACACCTTGTTCATCTCCCACCTCCCGTTTGCCTTCCCTTCCCTGTATGCACCCATCCGCATGCCCCTCCCCCTTTTTCCTTGTCCACCACATCATCCTCCCAGCTACCATCCCCTTCCCTGTCCCAACTTTCTCTTCCTCATGCCATCCACTAAATCTGCTTTCGTTTGCTTTTAGTCCGACGCAGAACGTTCTCCATCAATGCCCTCCACCATGCTCGTCTTGTCACCCCTTGCATCACGTCTTCCAATCCACACCACTCAGGGATCTCTCGTCCAACACGATGACTGGCTCCATTCCCAACAGCATAAGCTGGATCACTGGGCTAAAGATATTGTAAGAACTCCATGAATAATGTCGTTTCACACATTGCACACATAGACACTGGGTTCATCGACTCAACTGATGGCCCACGCTCGCTGCCAGTGTTTCTATTATGCTTCAAACCCTCCAAATCCCTACCCGCCAGATCCGCGACCCGCCTAGTTGACGAGCCAGCAAGCCGGGCCCAACTCGCGGCTTGTCGAGTTGGCCACGGGCCGTCGCAATAAATCCTGGGCTCAGCTCGCCATTGGGATGAGTCGAGCTGGAAGAGCCAAGCACGGCTAGGCATGAGCAGGAGGCGAGTCGAGCCTCGACTCGTCCGAGTCGGATCCGAGTCGAGCCAATTCCGGGTCGAGTCGGACCCGAGTCGGACCGAGTCGGACCCCCCAGGATTCTGACTCGAGACTCGAGTTTTGGGAGGCGAGTCGGACCTGACTCGCCCGAGTCAGGCCCTGACTCGGCCCGAGTCGAGTTTGACTCGACTCGGTTTAGTTAATAGGGAATTTCCTCGATATACGCTCGGCTGGGCAGGGCAAAAAAGGTACAGGCCTGGCGTGAGGTGAGTGGAGGAGGTGCCGTAGTTGCTGCTCTAGAGTTGCACAGCGTGAAATTAGGGCTCGGGAATGTCATAAGAGGGATAGCGTGTGTTCCCTCTCTTAGGTAGACGAGAGAGTGGGGGGAGGTTGGGTTTTCTAGTTGAAATAAGGTTGATTGCGGTTTTGAGGTGTGGGAATGGGGTTGGAAGGTGAAATGTCGCCAAGTCGTGACATTTTTGCCAACCAAATTCCCCCACTTCAACCGCACTGAAACCCTCTGCGACTACGAAATCCATTCCCCCCCCTCTAATGTTCTTGCTAACATCGATTTCCAACCAAATTCCCCCAATTCAACCGCACTGAACCTGTCTGCAACTACAACTTCTAACCCCCCCCTCCTCTCTTGCATGCTCTACCCTAATTCCTCGCCATCCCTCTCTCCCGTCAATTCTGCTAACCTATTTTAGCGTGCAACTAGAGCGGCCGCCATATCGCCTCTCAACCTACCACTCGCTAAGTCTTGAACCTTATATTTTCGTTTTGCCCTGAACATTTTTGCCTGCCTTCCCGAGCGTTTATCGAGCGTTTGCCAGGCCAGAAATCGATTGTTTAGAGTTCAACGCTGGCGTTTAAAACGTCAGACGCGTTTCTGGGCGTAGCTCAAAATTTCCCAGTCAAATGACTTAGCGAAACCTCTCGAGTGAATTTCGACTCGGTCGAGTCAAATTATGACTCGACTCGGGTGCGACTCGGTTCAAATTCCCAGACCGAGTCGAGCAAAACTCGAAACTCGGTCGACTCGACCCGACTCGACTTTGGCCGAGTCAGATGAGTCAAAAAGGAAACTCGACTCGCCCTTTAGGGCGAGTCGAGTCACCGAGTCGAGTCAAAACTCGACTCGGTTGCTCATGCCTAAGCACGGCTCGGCCCTTTGCTCAGTCTTAGTTGAGCGTGCCCACATTCCAATGGGGTTAAATTGTGGCCCTTCCCTTGGATCTATTTCCACCATGCCCGAACGCCGGGGACCGGTTTTGAATTCGTTGGGAAATTCGTTCCGCCCGGGCAGGAAAAAAATGCCCGGGCAGGCCCAAAAAAAAGTTCCCAAAAAAAACTTTCAGGGCAACTCTTTTTAAGCAAGAAAGTTTTAGCACAAAATAAATATTGCTTCTCAAGGTTTATGGCCATAGCATGTTCTAGAGTTTGGGGGGGATCCTTCGCAACAACAGCCCTGCAGCAACATACAGCAACATCATACTTGTGAGGTAAGCTAATGTCTCTGTGGTAATCTACTAGATCTACTACCTAGGATGCGGAGTGATTAGCTAGATCTACTCTACGTCTGGTAGAGTAGCGTGTGAGATGCGTGATATGGTTGTGTAAGTTGTGTTGGGTGGTGGATGGGTTGGGTTATCTAGATGCGGTGGGGTTTGATGCGGTTGGGAGAGTGGGAGGGGTTGGGAGCATGTTTGGAGGTTCAAAAGTTAGAATCGCAAATTGGCGAGGCCACAGATGGCTTCGCCAAGTCGTTGCGAATCGAGTGGGGAAATTCACATTTTTTTCCGGGCTGCCCGGAAAATTCCCCCCCAGCGTTTCGCGAATTTCAGGTAAATTCGCAAACGCGAATTTACTCTTACGAATTTACGCAAAACGCTGGGGGACCCCAACGAATTTGCCCACTTAGCCTTGGATGTGTATGACAGTCTTCAGGCTGCGCACCTCTTTTTCATTGTGGCAGGCGAGTCAATGACACAGGCCTCAATGGAGCGCTTCCAAATTTCCTTGGACGTCTCACTTCCCTCGATTCACTGTACGTGAAGAACCAACCACCCACAGTATGAACTCATATGTAATGGTCCACGCATGGGATGGGAGTGAACTATGCATAATGCATGGTATACTACAGTACGGAGAAAGAATCACGAGGAGTTTTGCAACATCAAACGTAACTGTATTGGCCTATGTGGCTATTACCCTTGCATCCCTCATTCCCTTCTCCCTTTCCACCGCAGCAACATCAGCGGCACAAACCTCACGTGCCCACCTGACTACACTGACTGTGGTCTAAAACAGTGGAACAAGACAGCCTTCTGCCAGACGTGCCCTTCCTTCTGCAGCACTTGCGGCAAACCAGCACCAGGCAAGCAGAGAAGACGAAGATGCACCAGAGCAATTCAGTGTTGGTGAAAAATCTTCATGTGCCAAGCCATGACACAAGCTGTGGATGCCGTGCCAAGGACGTTTTGTTGTAGCTCTTTCTTTAGACAACCAAGAGAGTGCGTGAAACCATGGATCTGCAGACTGCGGCATTGAGATAAGTCATGTCGAGCACTAAAAATTTGGTTCACCACCCCACCCCACATGATCTTTCCCTATGCAAGTTTGAATCTTATCAGTACTGCTCTTCATGTCTGGTTTGTAACTCTGCTCTGCTGAACCTTCTTCAAAATTGTGGTGGGAATAAACTGGTTCCACTGCCCATTGCATTGTACTATGCCCGTGCTAAATCAGCCACAAACATCAGCAGCAGCCCCAGCAGCAGCCCCGAGTCTTCTTCGTCAGCAGCACCATCCGGGGGTGGAGGTGTATCGGTGGGAGCCATCATTGGTATCGCTGCCGCTGCTGTGGTCATTCTCCTGCTTCTGGTTGCCGCACTGCTCTACTTCAGGCACAGGATGCAGCAGAAGAGGAAAGGTAAGGAAACGAAGGAGCCGCAAAGAGTTCTTTGTCTTGATTTAACAACTATATTTGCGGTTTCATGCAGTTATTTTCAGAATAGCATCAAGCGAGGGGCAAGCTTCTCGCTGCATGTGCCTCCCTTTAAACTTCACCATGGACAGGCCTGGGTACCAACCTGGCTGCTAAGCACTGCACCGAGTTCTCTCTGGCTGAGGTCCTCAAGGCCACCAATGACTGGTCGAAGGACAACCAGCTAGGCTCGGGTGCCTTTGGTGATGTCTACAAGGGCGTGTCTCCCCGCGATGGCACCACAGTGTGGGCTGTGAAGCGAGCCAAGCTGATCGACGTGGACTTTCAGCGGGAGGTGAGAGCGTTGCGTATAAGGGGGATGGCTGGACTGCAGTAAAGTAGTAAAGCAGAAATATTAGGAGAAACAAGAGAACACCTAAATATCCCATGGAGGTATACTGGTTGAACCAAGCTTGCAAAAAAAAAAAAAAAAAAAAGTCAAGTTCGAGGACATCTTGGTCCTCTATTTTGTCCATTTCTATTGGTCCTTGTTCTTTGCATCCTAAAACAGTCTTCATTTTCTCAGTTCACTATATTTCTCCTCTAGTTTTTGCTGACCTCCTCTTCTTCCAGATCCTGCAAATGGCCGACAAGAACCATCCCAACCTTGTGCGGCTGCTGGGGTTTGCGGTTGGAGGGGACCTAAGGGCGAAAATCGAGCAGATCTTGATCTACGAGTTCGTGCCCAACGGTGACCTGCACAAGTGGATCGATCCCGGTAAGCAGGAAATATCATTGCGTTGCATCACTGGGGTGTAGCAACCTTGGAGCACAAGAGACGTCGCAGTTTTTTGGTGAAGTGGCGGTGTGTGTGCCTCGTAGTGCTACTAATATGTAAGCATATGTGAGAATACTGTGAGCCTGGGTCCTATGCAATTCCAAAGCAAGAGTGTGTGAACAGGATCAATCAGGCGCATCACCAACTGTGGAAATGGTTGTCAGTATGGAACCAATGAGTCAGTATATTGAGGCGATTTGTTGGCTGACTCCAAAATAACTTCTAAAGTGGCTGGACGTGCCACGTATGTTATGCCATTTACCCGTATTGATCCCTGAGAAAAGGTTTAACATAGGGTCCACTAACACATAATAATGGGTCCGCCTGCTTGTTGCCTATCCATATCTCTGGGAAAAAATATATCCATCCTTTCTCTGGAGTATAGCTGGTGGAAATGCAGGTTCTCCTCTGCACCTGCTGTGAGCACAGAACATCTAGGCTCATGAGCATGCAGTGTGCGGTTGATTTGTCAGCCCAGTGTGATTTTTCTGCAAACCGCATGTTTTGTGGATTTCAGCACACTTCAATTGCGGTGGACAGAAGTCGATGTCGCTATCTCGCTATGTTGCCACGTTGCATCACCTCCTATGTCACTCATATACTTCCATGATGTCATAAAAATTGCTGCCTGCCTTCCTGCAGAAGCATCCAACCCTCTCAACTTTAAGCAGCGGCTGGACATTCTGATCGGCATTGCACGTGGCTTTGAGTACCTCCACAGCTTCGACATTGTGCACCGCGACATCAAGCCAGCCAACATCCTCATCACTTCTGACATGCAGGCAAGCTTGTTTGTATCGTAACAGCATCGGATTGTGTCAAGAAACGTACAACAAAAGCCTTGAGTTACACGATCGAACAGGGGGGACATGGAATTGCTGGCCCAAGTATTGTACCTGGATGGTTTGTCAAGGGCTAGTCACACTTTGGAATCTAATTATGAGTCGATTTCTTCAATCAATTTTACCTCTTCTCCGTCACCTTCCCCTTGTTGCTATGAACCTACCACTCTCCAGGCCAAGATTGCAGACTTTGGGCTTGTGAGGGGGGGAGAGGGCACCACAGTGGGCACTACTCGGATCATGGGAACACCGGGCTATGTGGATCCAGTTTACTCCAGGACGTCCAAGGCCACTCCTGCCAGCGACGTCTACAGGTGAACTAAGTCTCGCATAAAGTTCGAAATCGTTCTAGAATCAATCAGCCACTACATTTGCATTGGCTTGTGGAGGCAGTGTTTGTAACTCACACGCAAGTCACAAGCATGGATTCATCTAAGTTCCTTCGTCTTATGAATTGCATCTTGCTTCTCTCACCATCTCGTGCCTTTTGCAGCTTCGGTGTGCTCATGCTTGTGGTACTCACCGGACAGGCTCCACTCACTGAGTCTGCTACTGGAGAAATCAGACACATCACCCCATGGGTGGGTACCGTGGCCAGCTTAACATGAATATATTTCTGCAATAGAAGTGACAGAAACAGGTTGAACACTGCCTTGAACTCATCACCCCTCGCTTGCTATTTCCTCCACCCTCCTCTACTCTCTCAGGCATCCGATTGTGTGTCCTCGGGTGACATGGGGAGCCTCAAGGACCCCAAGATGGACGCCCCTGGGCATGCTGTGCTGCGCGTGGCTGAGCTGGCGATCAGCTGCACTGTGGAGCGCACTGCAAGCCGCCCAACCATGGCTCACGTTGCCAACGAGCTGCAGGCCATCCGGGAGGAGGTGGCGGGGAAGGACGAGAGGAGCGCTGCAGTCAAGGTGGATGCGCAGGTGCAAAAACTGAACTGTATGGATGCCCGGATGCAGGATGCTTTCGCAAACTTGGATAGTCTTGGTGTAGAATTTGGATGGTTTGGGGCCAAAAACCCAGTGTAGGGGCGTTTTCCTGGGCCTCCAGCGAGACTCGCCTCGAGTCAGCAGCGCGCAGAACAGCGCACTGCACTGCCATGGGTCAGTCGCATGTTAGGTACGAGCCAAGTTTGGCTGGCCATTTGTTTGGCAAGCTGTTTTTCTGGGTGATGTGCTGTCTGTTTCGTAATGGCTTCCGCTCCATTATCCAGATTAGACATGGGCAGCATGCCGAGCCTGGCTCGACTCGGCTCGACTCGAACTCGAGCCAGGCAAAAATCGAGCCGAGTTGGCTCGGCTCGACCCGAGCCGGCTGCCCCAAAATGGTTGGCTCGACTCGGGGGTTCAGGGTCGAGCCAAGGGTCGGCTCGACTTTGGGTCGGCTCGGCTCGACTCGCCAAAAGGGTTTCTTCTGCAGGTTTTGGAAAGGCTGCTAGGTCGCTGTAAAGGTTCTGCATGTAAAGGTCCCTAACCCCTTACATCCTTCCAACAACACCAAAAGGTAGTCAAAAAAATCTAAAGTAGCAGTGTTGGTGGAGAGAGGGCAGGCTAGGGTGGCGAAATAGCTCAGATGTACGCTTAGGCTCGATGGCGAAAACCTAGAATGGATTGTCAACTTCCGGAGTGGTCGAATTTTGACCCCTCACGGGCGAGCTGCGCGCTTCGAGAGTCGAGCCAAAGTCGAGCCGGCTCGACTTCTGCTCGCCCTGAAATTTGCGACGAGTTGAGCCGAGCCGCGCCGCTCGACCGGCTCGACCCGGCTCGACTCGGGGCGAGCCGGCCAAAAAATAAACCTGGCTCGACTCGCCAAAAAGGTGAGTCGAGTCGAGCCGAGTCTAGCCAGGCTCGGCATGCTGCCCATGTCTAATCCAGAAGTAGCCTTGTAGTTGGATCAACACCATTGTTTCATGTACAAGTAGAACCCGGAATGATTTTATCAGTCTAATATACGGTACTCTGCCTTTGAGGTGGATGCGCAGGTCCAGAAGATGAAGGATGATTTTGGAGATGTGGAAAGTTTTGAGGCGCAAATCCAGATGATTGGGGAGACCTTTTCCAATGAAAATGTTGTCTAAATTTGTAATGGCTGTGGTGTTTTGAAGGTGGATGCTCAGATGCTGGAGTTGCAGGATGATTTCGCAGGTGTGGCAGGTCTTGACGCAGAACTCGAGTCAATTGAAACCATGTGTAGGGGCGTGTTCCTTGGCTGCCACTCATAACTACTAGTCAGGCTGCACGCGGTACGGGCAATGCATTATGCCACTCAGCTGTGTGCTTTTGTCTTGCGGTTTGGTTGTAGAGTTCAAAATGGATTTAACTTCATTGTGTAGTACCCGGGATGTTGAAGTAGATACCCTAACCGTAATCCCCTGGCTATTGGACCCTATGGTCTTAGAATTGCAGGAAAAACATGTCAAGGTGGACATTACATGCAGGGAAATAACTAGGACCCATGCTCACATATTTTACAGCCTACATAGGGGGTTATATTTGTACCGCGGAAATAGAACCCTTTTATGGTCATCTTTCCGTGCCACCAGAATGACACGTGTCAAATTTCCAGCTGCGACGGCTGCAAATTTTCGTGTGTAGGCGTGGCGCGATACGGGGAACCTGCCATCCTGACTCCCCGCTTAGACCATTCCTGCTGCGAGCACCAACCTCACACTAAAAACATAGGCAGCAGTTTTCATATTGTGAAAGCTAGCTTAGGTCCTCTTGAAAGGCAGCGTGCTTCATTTCAGGCAGCGTGCTTCATTTCAGGCAGCGTGCTTCATTTCATATGGGGGACATACCGTAATCCCCTGGATATAACACCCCGGGTATAGTATAAAATTCATGCGAAATTAGGGGGGTGGGTGCTCCATTTTGCGTTTAGGCTATAGCACCCTGGTGTTATATTTGAGGACAGAATTTTTAAGATGTGCATTAGATTCAGTGCGTCATGGCGATTTCAGCCATTCAAATTCCGGCTGAAAAGGCGTACGTTTTCTCGAGGTCCGGAATAGCCCCGGATTGCCCACTTGCTCACGAATTTCAGGTTTGTGTCAGATTAGTGAAGCGAGATTGGGAGGTTGGCGACACTCGCAATGGACTGGACGAAAATTGCGACGCTCATCAGCCAATCAGCACAGGTCTGTCGCACAATTGAAACAAAAATTGTCGGCCCACTGCGCTTTTCCAGGTGAAGATTGTCAACTTATACATATTATCTATGTAGAAGTTATAGGCTAGACTGAGGTATGCTTCTAGTGAGTACAACCAACTAGTATTTGTTCTAGGTTTCCACCTCTAGTAATCATTCGTTTCTACGTTAACATGGTATCACGCTTAGGTTAGGATCCCCCCGCCTACCGCTTCCGCCCGTCGCGCCTCCTAGGCCCCGTCGCGCCCCCTAGGCCCCGTCGCGCCCCCCCTGGGCCCTGTCGCGCTCGTTAGGCCCCGTCGCGCCCCCCCTGGGCCCCGTCGTGCCCGCTGGGCCCCGTCGCGCCTCCTAGGCCCCGTCGCGCTCCCCCTGGGCCCCGTCGCGCCCACTGGGTCCCGTCGCGACCCCTAGGCCCTAACGCGCCCCCGCTGGGCCCCGTTGCGCCTCCTAGGCCCCGTCGCGCCCCCCATGGGCCCCGTCGAGCCCGCTGAGCCCCGTCGTGCCTCCTAGGCATCGTCGCGCCTCCTAAGCCCCGTCGCGTCCCCCCCCTCTGGGCCCCGTCGCGCCCGTTCGGCCCCGTCGCGCCCCTCCTAGGCCCCGTCGCGCCCGCTGGGCCCCTTCGCGCTTCCTAGGCCCCGTCGCGCCTGCTAGGCCCCGTCGCGCCCCCCCTGGGCCCCGTCGCGCCCGTTAGGCCCCGTCGCGGCCCCCTGGGCACCGTCGTGCCCGCTGGTCCCCGTCGCGCCTCCTCGGCCCCGTCGCGCCCCCCCTGGGCCCCGTCGTGCCCGCTGGGCCCCGTCGCGCCCCTTAGGCCCCGTCGCGCCCGCTGGCCCCTGTCGCGCCTGCTGTTAGCGCTCGCCCGCCTGGCCTCCTCCTAGTGCCGCTCGGCCTCCTCCTAGTGCCGCCCGGCCTCCTCCTAGTGCCGCCCGGCCTCCTCCTAGTGCCGCCCGGCCCCTTCCTAGCGCCGCCCGGCCTCTCCTCAGCGCTGCCCGGCCCCTCCTCGTGCCCGACCGGCCCCAGCAGCACCAGCCTGGCCCCTCCCAGCACCAGCCCGGCCCTAGAGCACCTGCCCGCCTCCCCTGCTCGGCCTGCCGTGTCCTCTCGGGCCCTGTGTCTTCTGCTTGCCTGCGCTGGGACGCCTAGCTGCTGCCCTACTGGAGAGTGCTGCCGCCGTGTCCCCGCGCCGCTGTGCTCCTGTGCCGCTGAGGAGCTGTGCTGCTGTGCCGCTGTGTCGCTGAGGAGCTGTGCCGCTGACCCTGCACGATGGCTGACTTTGTGCTCCGCCTGGACGCTGAGGGCCACGCGGTTGACTTCGCCGCCTGGCTCTCCGATCTTCGCCGCCAGCTTACAGGTCAGCGCCAGGATGGCCACTCTCTGGTTGTCCATGCTGATGGCTTGCTCCCCCGTCCCCCTGCACCTACTCCCCTCCCTGCTGACCCCTCCTCTGATGACCGTGAGGCTTTCTCTACTGCTGCGCTAGCCTGTGCGGTCTGGGACTCACGCGATGCAGTAGCTCAGGTTGCTATTAGTCACGCCCTCCCTGTGTCTGAGCGCTCGCGTTTTGCTACTGTTGAAACGGCCAAAGCTTATTTAGACGCCGTTATTGCTCGCTATTCCACCCCTGCCTCCGCTTCTGCTGGCCGCTTGCTCTTTCCGATGCTGTTCCCAGACCTGGCTGCCTTCCCTACTGTCGCAGATTTTGCCACTCATTTGCGTGCCCTAGAGACTCGCTATCGCACTGCCAGCACTGCTGCCCAGCTCACTGCGCTCCCCCCTCCTTTCTGCATGACGCTCTATTTTATCGCTATGCGCCTGCCAGACCGCCTCGCTAGTGCTCGCGACCACTTTCTTAGCCAGCACCCGGGTGACCTCACCCTGACCGCCTTTGTCGACACCCTCACTGAGATCGAGACTCGCCAGCGCACTATCGCTCAGTCGAGCGGTGCGCCGGCAGTCTCTATCTTTCACGGTTGTGCCCCATCCCCGTGCACGTTCACTGACGTTTCGGCTGCGGTCGCCACGGCGACCCCTCTTACCGAGACGGCTGCTGCTGTCCACCCGCAGCAGCGCTCGCGTCGCGGTGGCCGTGGCCGCCAGGGAGGTAGGGGTGGTGACGCAGGTGGTAGTGGTCGTGGTGGTGGTGACGGTAGTCCGCCTGAGGGGACTACCACCGGTGGGCAGGAGCAGCAGTCCCAGCAGCAGCAGGACCAGCCCCAGCCGCAGGCGCCGTCCCAGCAGCACCCGCCGCAGCCGTGGGCTCGTCTCCCGCCTGGTTGGCCCGGCACCTCCGGAGGCGGTGGCCGTGGTGGCGGCCCGCACAGCTTGGCGTCTACCAGCGGCTCCAGTGCTGTGACCTGCCAGTACCAGCTTCAGACCGGGCCTCTCCGCGGCACTCTGTGCCGCCGCCCGCACCCGACCGCCCACTGTTTCCGCCGCCTCGACGATCTTTTTCGTCGTCGCTTTGGCCCGGCCCCGGACCTCCCTGACTGGCACAGCCTGCTCCGCCAGGGCGTGCCGATCTTTGAGTTAGACATGGATCAGATAGGTGCTGCTTTGCATGCTTTGTATGCTGACGCTTCTAGTGTTGATGGATCTTACTACCATGTGTACTCTAGTTTAGGTGTTTCACCCTTGTGTAGCTTAGCTTCCCCTGCTGCGACAGGCGTAGGACTGCCTAGGTTGCCTAGTCTAGTCGCTGCACCGGCTCCGTCCGCGGCCTCCGCCACTGCGTCGCTGTCCTTCACTCTCGACTCTGGTGCTTCTGCCTGCTTCTTCCGCGACCGTTCCACGCTCACGCCGCTTGCTGCACCTGCTGTTGTCTCTCTCGCTGACCCCTCTGCGGGTCCGGTCGTCGCGCGCAGTTCTACGTCCCTTCCCTGTCCGGCAGTTCCCTCGGGCTCCCTTACTGGCCTCCACGTTCCCTCGTTCTCCAGGAACCTGGTTGGTGTCGGCTGTCTCCAGGACCTCGGCGTCACCACCACGTTCCCCGGGCACGAGCGGTTCGCTGTCTGTTCTGAGGCTGTCTCAGGTTCCCCCCTTGCGACGTTCCCCCGGGACCCGGTGTCCGGTCTGTTTACCCTACACACCGCTTCCCCCCCGGTTGGTGCGTCCTCCCAGGTCGCTGCAGCTTGCTCGTGTCGGTCCCTCACTCACCCCTCCCTTCTCTGGCACCACCGCTTAGGTCACCCTGCTCTCCCGCGTCTGCGTCACATGTCCCAGCACGGTCTTGTCTTAGGTCTCCCCGCGTCGCTCCCTGCCCTTCCTCCCTCGACTGCGCCACCGTGCACGCCTTGCGTCGAGGGTCGGCTCCGCCGTGCTCCTCACTCCTCCTCGCTGCGTCCTGCTACTGCCCCCCTTCAGACCCTGCACTTGGACGTTTGGGGCCCTGCCCCCGTCCCCGGACCGCGCGGTGAGCGCTACTTCCTTGTGCTCGTTGACGACTACACGCGCTACACCACGGTGTTTCCCCTGGAGCGGAAGGCCGACGTGCCCGACGTTCTTCTCCCGTGGGTTGTAGCTGCGCGTCTCCACCGCGGTCTCCCCGTGTTGTGTCTCCACTCCGACCGTGGCGGCGAGTTCGCCTCTGGTCGGCTTGGACAGTTCTGTCGTGCGGAGGGCATCACCCAGTCGTACACGTTGCCGGACTCGCCACAGCAGAATGGGGTTGCTGAGCGCCGCATCGGCTTGGTCATGGAGGTCGCCCGTACCTCCATGATCCATGCCGATGCCCCCCATTTTCTGTGGCCGTTCGCTGTTCGCTACGCGGCTCACCAGCTTAACCTGTGGCCACGCTCCCAGCGGCCGCAGGTTTCGCCGACCCTCCTTTGGACCGGGTCCCCCGGTGACGCGTCTGCGTTCCACGTCTGGGGCTGCCTTGCTCACGTTCGTGCCTCTGGCACGGACAAGCTCACTGCCCGCACTGTCCCCTGTGTCTTCCTCGGTTTCCCCCTGGACTCGTCTGACTGGCTTTTCTACCACCCGCCGTCTCACCGCTTCCTCCACTCTCGTGACGTCACCTTTGACGAGTCCGTCTCCTTCTACCGCCGCTTCCCTCACCGAGGTCTCCCAGTTGCCCCCCCCCTTTTCCTTGCTCCCTCTCCCCCGGTAGCCCCTGCCCCTCTCCCGCCTCGTCCTGCCCCGTCTGGTGTCTCCCACGTCACTCCCCTCCCGTCGGTTGTCCCCGTTGAGGAGTCTGCTGACTCTGGTGGTACCCCCGGTCCGTCCTTGCCGCGTCCCCCTTCCCCAGTGCCTCCG